ATGATTTGAAAGTCACAGCAGTTACTTGGCAGCTGCAGCTCATTTGCATCTTCTTCAGATCTCCATGTTGACCATCATTCACCAACATCTTACAGTCACGGTCCATTGGCAGCAATCACCTCCACGGAAGTCAACAGCAATGCACCAGCATCACCACATGGCATATCTCAGACTAACTTGTAATATACTTGAGCACTTCACTATTGCAGTTTGGATCTCACGGACACGTTTCATTGCAATGCTTCTACCAGGCTGCTCTGCGCACAGGGACACACATGTCTCATGCATCAGAACAGGATGCATTTCAGGCCACTTACCTTGCTTACTTACGATTGATTCACTTTCTGCTTAATTGGATGCATACAGCATCTCTGCCTTGCCATTTAATTCAGAGCTTACAAGTTCACCAATAGTCCTGTCTTGCCTTTTAATGCAGATAGACAGCCAAGCAACTTGTCATGCTTGCTGGCAATGAACACTCATGGGAGCAGTTATATTACTGTACAGCACTGTGCCACATCAATGTCATACCTACGGTACGTGGCAGCAGCCTACGTGACAAACACACCACATTTGTTTCAATCAAAATGGCCATGCCAGAAAGTCTAAGGGTGTAGTCCATAGTCAAGTAAAGGGGTCTACAGTCAGGAGGTGTTGCTATGCTCAGTCAAAGGATCTTTCAATCTCATCCAGGGGTTTGACCACTGTCAGCTGGGACCTCAAAGTGGTTACCTCTCCAATAAGTTCAAGGATTCTCACCTCATAAAGGATGAGGAGATGAATTTCAGCCACCCTGTCACCCATCTTGGCCCTTTCAGCCCTATGCTGGGCCATTTTCTTCATCAATGAGACAAAGAAACTAAGCAGGGAATCAGTGAGATGAAAGGGGCTAGAAGAGTTGTAAATGACAGTGTCGCAATAGGAAAGGCAGCGAGGTATCTCAAGTGAATGGGTGGACAGTGCAGAGACCAGGAAGGCTTAATTGTTTTGGGGGATCGGATGGGTGAGAGCCATTGAGGGGAGATGCTACATGCAACAGTCAGAGTGGTAATTATGATTCTTGATATGTATATCATCTACATACTGCAGCTCAATGACACTGGTTGGGGTGATTTGGTTTTGGCTTGAAGGTGACAGAGGTTGAATAATTTCCCTTTGGTTTTGTACCTTAGCTCCACCCCAGCGGGGAGCTTATCGATGGTGAGGTGAAGAATTGCAGCAAGATAGATTGAAAACAGTGATGGGGTGATGATGCAGCCCTGTTTGACATTGGTCCAAACAGGGAATGAATTTGTGGTGGAGTCATTTGTCATTAGCACAACTTCAATGTCATTGTTGAGCAGGCGAAAGATGGTGATAAACTTCATGGTGTAGCCAAAGTTGAGAAGGATGCTTCATAATGCTTCCTGGTTAACGGTGTCAAAGGTCTTTGTAAGGTCAAAGAAGGCCACCCACAGGGCTAGGTTCTTTTATCCTGCAGCTGTGGCTCTGTGAATGTCATGTCTGTTGTGTCCCTCTGTGGCTGGAAGCCGTATTGTTTCCAGGAGGAGTTCCTCAGCCACAGGGAGAAGATGGTTGAGGAGGATCTCGGCAATGACTTTCCTAATGGTCGACAGCAGGGAGATTTTCCCTTGTCGTTACCACAGTCGGACTTGTTCCCTTTTTGAAAATGCTCACGACTGTGGCATCTCAGAGCTCTCCTGGAATGCACTTCTCCTTCCAGATAAGGCGTATAGCTGCAGCAGGAGTTTTTTGCCTCTGTACTTCAATGCTTCTGTGGAGATACTGTTTGCTCCAGCAGCTTTGTTGTTCTTCAACTGGTGGACAGCCTTCTCTACTTTGTGCGGGGTTGGGATGTTGCTGAGCTCATGGCATGTTGTGTGTTGTGGGGTATGTTCAAGGATGGTTGGATGGACAACTGAGCCCTGGTTGAGGAGGTCTCTGAAGTGCCCCCCCCCCAATAGCATTATTTGATGGCTCCTTTGTCTTTGATAAGAGTCACTCCGTCCTTGGCCAGAAGTGGGATGGGGCCTTGGGCGTTCAGTTCATAGGTGGTCTTGATAGCACAAAAGAAACCCTGCACATCATGGTTGTCAGCCATTTGTTGGCCTCCAGTACTCTCTCCACCCACCACCTGACCTTTATGCCTCAGGTTCGTTGTTGGACTTCTGCCTTCACTCGCCTTTTCTCTTCAGAGTGTTGTTGCTGTTTTACACTCAGAAATGCCATGTGTTCCAAGATTATCAATTCTTGGATCTGATTTTTGTGTTTCCTGATTAAGAGACTCATTGAGTTTTTGCAGGCATTGATGATGGCGGCCATGAGGCCTTGAAACTGTTGGAATCCTGCAACTCTGTGTTGCGGCAGGGCTATATTTACGTTGATCCTGGCTTGGATCAGGTGATGGTCCATCCAGCAGTCATTGGTTCATGTCATGGCATGGGTGATTCTAACATCTTTCCGATCCTTCACTTGATGATGACGTGGTCAAGGAGGTGTCAGTGTTTGGAGGGGTGCTGCACGTTGTCTTGTATTTATGCTTTGGCGAAATATTGTATTGGTGATGAGGAGGTTGTGTTCGTGGCATTTGGTCTGGAGAAGGGTACCGTTGGAGTTTTACTTCCCTTGTCCCTCTTTCCCAATTACATGAACCTAGAGGTCTGCGCTTTTGCCAACTCTGGTGTAAAAATAGCTGAGGATGTTTAGTTTGTTCATATCAGAGACCTGTGAGAGACATTAGTCAAGACTGAAGTAGAATTCTTCTTTGTCCTGTATTAAGCATTGGTGAATACCATGACATATTGCATCCGAGCAAGGATGAGTTGGAGTGTCACGAGGCGTTTGCTTATTCCGTGGGGGGAATCTTTGAGCTGACCCATCACTTCGTTTTTGATGGTGAAGCTGACTCCATAGATGCAGTGCTCTTCTTCAGCCTTGCCTTTTCCAGAAAACGGTGTAGCCACCACCTTGGTCTCTGAGCTGTCCTTCCTCTGCCTGCTGGGTTTCACTTAGGGTGGTGATGTCAATAGTATAGCACCTGAGTTCCTGGGCAATGATGGTGGTGCAGCGTTCTGGTCTGTCACTGGCAGGACTGTCCATAAGAGCCCTGACGTTCTAGGTCCCAGATTTCATCCTGAGGGTGTGGAAGGTGCCTGTGTGAAAGTTCTTTTAACACGGAGAAAACATTGCATACTGGCTACCATACGGACTTAGCAGCACAAGGTTTTGGTCCAGTGCCGAGGATGGTCCAAGACAACTGGAGACTAGGTGCTCCTGTTTGACTTTAGGTTTGCCTGCAGTGGAGTGCAAACAAACAGTTCAGAGATGAGCAGTGTCTCCCACTCAGGAAGTGCGAGGTCCGATATGAGGAGTGTGGGACTAAGGGGTGAGGATGGGAAAGACAATATGGCTGCCACCATTGTGCCTATTGTGTGCTGGTCACTCTCAGTCTGTGATTGTAGAACCACTGGGCTGGGGGTGGGGTGAGTTTATAAAGACACTAAACTGGGCTGGACGGTTTATAAAATCACTGAACCGGGAGATCCGAGTAGTTTGTAAATTACTGGGCTGACAGGTGTTTATATAAACACTGGGCCGGGAGGGTGTTATAGAATTACTGGGCTGGGGGGTGTTATATAAACATTGGACTAGAGGGGAACACCTCCGGGAATATTACACCAGGGACGTCTCCTCCATGGCCTGCCTCAATGCCCAGGGATTATCGGAGGCTGGGGCAACAGGAAAGAGGAATAACAGTGGGTGTGGGAAGCGAGTGACATCGTGCTCCTCATCCCTCGGTCGGCCCTTGGTCTTCACGGAGACATCCTGGAGACAGCAGAACAGATCAAAGGGAGGGAAGAATACAGTGCACAGCACTCACAAAGTTCTGACAACACAAATCTGTACTCTGTGAGCTGTGGAAACATCTGCATGTTTTGGGAAATTTCCTCAAAAACTCTCAATAGCTCAGATATCAATGTAAGATTGTCAACTGATGTCTGGGTGCGGAGCCTGTTATGTGGAACTGTGCAATTTCAACAATTTGCCTCTACATGTTTTGAAGGGCAAGGAGGACAATGCTGGAAAATGG